ATATTTTTAAAAATCCAGAATTTTCACTAGTGTGACACACGTGACACAATTTCTCTTAGCATGTCATCATCATCCCTATTTTATCCACCACCCCTTGAAAAAATATGAAATTAAATGTAAATTACTCCCTATAAAATTGTTATTTCTCAGATAAACCATAATTTTTATACTCTTCAATTTTGTTTGGTTACGGAACTATCGACTAGAAAATCAGACCCCCCCCCCTCCTGTCACATCCTATGTTTCAGAATTTGTTGATAGTTCTCTCTTACATTTCATTATTTATTACTTATAACCAATAGAAAGTCAAGGTTTTCATCTATCAAATGACTTATTGTATAACATTGTGTTCTGAACAGAATATTGTCAATTTCACTCACAGTACAAGATTTGTTCCGTTGAAAAGTTAACGATTAGCTTGGATGAATTTGTAACAGCTCTTGTCCCATAGTTAGAAAGCCAGAAAAAGTTTGAGAGGTAAAGGAATTTGTCTACATTTTGCATGATATTAGTCTATATTCTTTGGTGCATTATTTAATTAAATGAAAATTATTAAGTGCATTACTATAATTACTATAAAAAATCAGGCTTAACTGTCCTCGACAGTCGAAGGCAAGAAAAAAGAAAATTGGGTTTATACTTCATTTCTTATTTTTCATATTTATTCTTTATTTATTTATTATTATAAAAGTAACTAAAATGTAAAAATACAGATTTTTTTAAGTTATTTAGGATTAGGTTAAGTAAAATAAGTAATAATGATATAATTAAATGGTTCATGAGGCATGCATGCGAGCAGCTCATGGGTAATGTAATTCGATAGCATAACATGAGCTTCATGTTCCCTGAGTGATTTACAATTTATAATAGTGCGGATAGTAGTTAGACACGGTTCAGAGAGCAATAAAACAATAAAATTTAATTATAAATACATGTATACTGTTATGATCTTAGAGCTACTTAGGATAAACGAATGTAGTTTCATGTTACAATTTGAAGTCATTCTAGAGAGAGACAAAGTCCAATTTAAGTTTATTTAGAATTTTTTTGGTGTTTACGAGGTTGGTCAAATTGACCAATTCTGTTTTGAGATAGGGTTGAGAAAATGACAGATAAACTATAAAGTTTTACTGAAAAAAGCATTTGAAATGCATTTAGG